GAGAGAGTATAAAAAGTTGTGTATTAAAATAATGCCCTTCAAAGCCATGGTGAGAGTTTTACCTTTTCAATCCAAGCCACCACCAAACGCTGAATGACAAAAGTGAAGAAAGGAGGTTCCCATTCATAAAAGCCTTTTCCCCACCACCCCTGGGGGTTTCACCTCTCCTCAGCCACCAACCTTGCCTAAGCTGGCAGAGGGAAGGGACCTCCTGCCCTTAATCTCTTCTCTAAGTACAGCTCTATCTTTCCCTGATAAAGGATTAACACCCATTCCTCATTCAACTATTGCAATGAGATTTTATTTCTAATTACATCGTAATAAAACTGGGAGCGCTCCCAGGGTTTTCGCCAAATGACTTGTAGACACTCTACAAGATTGGATCCTACTTGGCTGCATTGTAATAGCATTTTCTCTGACATTCATTAGACATGCATGAAGGAGAGGGCTGAAGAATGGAATTGCATTTAAATGGATTTCCTGGGAAGGATGGAGAAAAGGGAGGGGGAGGGTAGGGGATGGAAGGGGTTAACAGAGTCTGGGCTCATTGTAGGGTATCATACCTGGCCCACCAACAAGCAAGGCAATCCAGAGGTCAGAACAGGCAAGACAGGGTTTTGGTAAAATGCAGCGTTTATGAACCCACACTACAATTATTTGGCATACATTTAATACATAAGCACTGTTGCTTACATTTTATGTCATCAGTTCTCACTGCTTCCTCCTTTCTTCCCTCTGCAATACTGTGTGTAATTTATCTGTAACTAGAATAACATTTCATGCACCCAACAGAGTGAAGCCTACCCCCATGGCATAATAGATCAGTGACTGTCTGAGTTGCCACATTCAGATACATTGCAAAGAGGCCAGATAACTCCTCGGTCACAGAAGGGATGCAAACGGCCGCCACCACTCAGTCCGAGGGGTTCACATTCCCTTGGCAACTCTAACCCTTGACCTGAGGCTTTCTAGGAGATGCCCAGCATGCCATGCAGTCACAGCAAATTCGGGTAGGCTTCCCTGACAACTCCACCCTGGCTGAAGTCTCTGTCAACAGGAGGCAAATGCAAGAAGCCCAAAAGAAAAGCAGGAAACTCTGCGGCCTTTGTGGGACAGAGAAGCCCCCTCTTTCATGAGCTTGGGGGCACACAATGGAGCCAAGGAAAAGAGGGCAACCCTCAGCATGACTATTTCCCATTCAGCCTGTTATATTCTTGAGGAAGAAGAACACCAAGGCCGTTTGGAAAGACGGGCCTGCTCCTTGGAGGGGAGAGATCTACCAATTTTCCATCAAGGAGCCTCCAAAGAAACTGAAAACTGGAAGATGCCAAAGAGACAAAAACGAAGATTTATTTCCACAATGTACAAAATTTGGTAGACACCAAATCTAAACGGATTAACAAGTTAACGAAAAGCTAAAATAATCAATAGTAGCAAGGAGAATGGAACCTGTAGGAATATGAGTCTCTAAGCCAGTCTGAAGCACAGAGCAGTTCCATGTTTGGACTCTCATGACCTCATGGCTACTGGCAGAAACATGCTGGACCAGAAAGGCCAATACCGGTCTGATCCAGCTGCAGGGATGCTTGTCTATTCTCTTCATTTGATTGTGAACTGCCTGGAGTCAGATAAAATAGGGTGGTATATAAATGATTAGCAGGAAATACCTGCTGGAACAAGTATGGCTCTTTGGCTGGACTGGAGCTGCCATCTTCTGCTGCTGTGCTGAGACCTTCTCTGGATAATCATCCCCAAGTCCCAAGCAGGCCAATGGCCCAAATTTTGCCCAGGATGGATGCCAGGGAGCAGAGAGACAAGGAAATCCTTGAATATATATTGTCAGGATACGTGATGGTGGGGAGCAAAACAAAGTTTCCTATGAATTTTGTCTCCCTGCAACCAACCTCAGCAATTTAAGCCCATTCTAAGAGAGGCGGGCACCATTACTGCTCTTCCATCACCCTCTGCTCTTTTTAGATGATGCACCAAGTTTCCCCATGACAAAAATTCAACCTTTTTTACAAGGGATGCAAGTCTAGCACTAAGGAACAATTTCCCAGAAAGTGGTTTAGCAAGGGAGATGCAGGTTAGAAGGCTGACATTTCTCCAGAAGCATTAGGATTAGGGTTACCTTCTTGGGCTTGCACAGAGGAAAAGCAAACAGAGTCCCCTTGGCAGTGTTTGAAATCTTTTGATTAGAGTTTGGGTTGTAGGTTTGCTGGGGAAAGAAACCCAGTTTTGGGGGAGGGGATGCCCCCACTAATAAGGCAGACTGCTCCCACCTCTATCCACAGATCTCCTAAGAGGCAACGGAGAGATACAGTATGTAACTGTATTATCAGAGCACCTGCAGGATGGGGAACAACAGGCTCCAGCTGAACCCTGGCAAGACGGAGTGGCTGTGGGTTAATGGCTCCTCTGTATCCAGAACGGTGTCATCGTTGGTGCTGG